AAGGTTATGTCATCATGCGAGGAACTAATACTTTTAAAACCTAAAATTCTAAAAAGACCTAGTCAAAAAATTAAAATATAAAAAAATAGGACAGTATCGATAAAAAAATATTAAAGGAAATATAATAAGGCCCTAAACGCCGTACTTTTCATATATATATAACAAAGATTTTTGTATCAAATACACCGCTTCATCCTAATCAATAAATACTCCATAATTCAACTTATTTATTAATTTTTTATTTTAAAAATTTTTATACACATCGCATACAAATACAATATTATATTTAATTTATTATTCATTAAATCTAATTTGTTAAATATTTTATGAAATACATGAGGAAATAATGATATCAAATAGAGAAGAACATACTATAAAATATCTATCGCTTTTGTGTTTGCTATAATTACTGAATCAAATGTATTTTAGTTAGACATTAATAAAAGTATCTTTTATTTTTTAAATGTTTATGATGATATATATTAGAGAAATAATTAAATAATTAGTAAGTGGTCGCTTTTGAGATCGGCAATCGGCCAAATCAAAATATTTTTAAAATATTTTTTTTAGGATAATGCTTGACAAGTTGTACATATAAAGCAAATATAAAGATTTTCCCATAGAAAATGCCAAGCGGTAATCTAGTAATTGGGTCGGTTACGAGTCGGTTATCTGTCAAATCACGATATTTATAAAATATATTTTGGGATAATGTTTTGCATGTATTTATGGAGATATAAAACTAAAATGAACATTTTTCAATTGATATTACTAGCAAATTTGGTGTATCGAATATTTAGTAGTAGTCGGTTTTTGAGTTCGGCAATCGATCAAATCGAAATAGTTTTGGGGATAATGTTATCCAATATAATATAATCATTGGAAACCTTAATGAAGAGATTTTGATCAATAACGATAGCAATATGAGCCTTACTAGTTTTCTATTATACGATTCTAAATCTACTTATAAAAAAATGTCAAAGAAACCTATCTTTTTTATTTAATTTTTAGGTTTTCCACATGTATTTACACCCAAATATTATAAAAGTACTAGCCATTAATCATTCGGGTTTCCCAAGAATGATATTATAATATTTATACATTTAACGCCCTCTTATGTATATATATTTGTTAAATTTTAAAAATTGAAAAATAAAATTTGATTTGTAATAAAGCTAGATAATTTATTTTATTTCCATTAATATTGAATAAACATAGGATTATATATTATATTATATAATCTTATTTTTTTTAATTAATAAAAAATTAATTTAAGTATATTTTACAAAAAATGGTTTATTTCTAAAAAGATTAATCAATAAGTTATATATATGTAGCATATGGGATATGGAATAATTTGGGATTCTAAATCCCAACGTGGGGAATCGAGATCTTTAATCCCCACGTTTTATTCGGAATCTTTTTTTTTAAATTTTTTTTTTAAAAATATTTAAAGAATTCTTGATATTGAAAATGTATTTCTAGAAGTAGCACAGCAGATAATTTAAAATTGGAATGGTTATCAGTCAAATCACGATATTTTTAAAATATTTTTTGGGATAATGTTTTGCATGTATTTATGGAGCTATAAAACTAAAATGAACATATTTCAATTGATATTACTAGCAAATTTGGTCAATCGAATATTTAGTAGTTTGGTTTTTGAGTTCTGCAATCGATCAAATCAATTCTAAATCTACTTACAAATTAAATGTCAAAGCGACCTATCTTTTTTTTAATTTTTAGGTTTTCCACGTATCTACACCCAAATATTATAAAAGTACTAGCCATTAATCATTCGGGTTTCCCAAGAATGATATTATAATATTTATATATTTAACACCCTCTTATAGACATATATTTGTTAAATTTTAAAATTTAAAAATTATAATTGAGTTGTAATAAACTAGTAAATATAATTTATCCCCATTAACCTTAAATAAAAATAGGATAATTTTTTATTTAATAAAAAATTGATTTAAGTGTATTTTAAAAAAAATGTTTCAATAAGTTTATAATAAGATTAATTAATAAGTTATATATATATATATGTGTTAAAAAATATATGACAGAGTCTTTCGATATAAACGATAGTGAGGCAAAATCTTTAAATAAAGTTGAAATTTTTTAAAGCCATTTTATAAAATAACGTTGGAAAAATCATCAGATGCAACTATAACTGGAACCGCATTTTATATATAGCAAAAATGGACAAAATTTTAGGGGAAGCATCCAAGATGTTATTAAAATGCTGAAAATGTAGAATATATAAAAACTACCTGAGCGTATTCAGAAATTATGTAGCTACCAAATTAGATCCCAAAACTAAAATGAAATATATGCCTAATTTTGAAGCAAAACATGAATATAAAAAATTAAAACCACTGTGCTCAAAGCGAATGTATATGAGTCCTCTCTAGATGATCAGTATGCATAACGAATTGAGAAAGTAATTATAAATGTGTGGTTATATTAATTTATAAATTTTAGGGAAGCTTGTAAATTTCCAGATCTCAGGAGAGATTAAATTATAGAATACATCAAAGAACTGGTTGCACCAGCTTCAACCATTATACCTTAATGGTGGCAAAAAAAGCGCTTTTTACTCAACTTGATATCTAAGGATTAATTTGCTTAACAAACGTACAGCGTTCCAAGTAAGGTAGCCTTCAGCAAGGCCGTTGATTTTTTGATCAAGTCGCGAAACAGGATGTCACCGATATCACTTAAACATTGTATGTGCTTAGATAATTGGGGTGTTCCGCTATGAAATACATTATTTATATATTCTATCTTATTGATTGTATTGTATAATTGTATTATAAATCTTGTTATATTTACAAAATAAATAAATATTGGATAATTAGTAAAAATCTATTTAATATAAAATTATAGGCTTTTTAGTAGCTTACATCTTAGGTTTCACAAATTGCTTAAAATCAAAGATCAAAAAAATTTTATAATGCTCAAATGTAGATATTTGATTAAATTTTATTTAGAATAAATTTTTTTTAGCAATTAATGGAAATAAAAGGTGATATATGTAATTATAGATTTTGATTCGGAATTTTTTTTAAAAATAAAAAAAAATTTCTTTCTTTTTTTGCCATCTGGCTGGTACCAGAAAATTTTATTTGTTTTTTAATAAAATAAATGATATTATCAAAAGGACATATTTAAAAGGCCAAAATAAGGGATTTAAAGAGAGAATGTTAAAAAAAGTTGAATGAAATGGAATAACGTTAAGAAACATTTTTGTTTTGGTAAATTTATATAAAATCATAAATATTTTCATTAAAAAAAAAATTCATTGCAATAAATATTCAATGCAATATTATATTAACAATTTGAGACTATATATCCGATGTTTCGAATTATGAAGGATATTTTTATCATTCAAAGGAATTATAAATCCTTGCTTAGCCATTATGCCTATTCATTATAAACAACTATTGATGTACAAAATTATTATCAATAACTTTTATAATTCAGTGCTTGATCATTTTACTCAAATATAAAGACAAATTCTACTTATTTATATTATGGTTTGACTAATAAATAAAAATAAATTAAAGTTTTCGATTACTTCCCTAGTAGTAAACTTGACGCTTCGTCATTGCACAAGATATCACTATCACAAATTATACCATCAGTATTCTAATTCGACTATTAAATTTTTGTATAATTCATGTCGTTATATGTCACTGAATATAATTAAACTTCCTTCAATGCCTTTTCAGAAATAGCTTTCATATTTTTATTTATACATGTTCCGAATAAAAATATTTCACATTCATTGTAAGCTCTTTATTTACCTAAAATCTTCGGTCAGACAGCCATAATTTGATCAATACTTCAACAGTGCAGTATAGAGACCAATCTAGGGCATTTATCTATTCATTCATTATTTATACATCCTCCTTGTTCAACCTACTTGATTTTTAACATGCTAATTCGTACTCAAATGCTATCTGATAATTTTAAATCAGGAATATTTTAATTTAAATTGATAGTCTATTGTGAATTTGTTTTGATGAATATGAAGGTTATAAAAGGTATCAAAGATCTAGCATTTTCCTTATTTTCCAAGTAAATAAAACATCTGAAGGATAGACGATCCACTTTTTATCTTCTTATAATTATAAAATATGTTTTCTGTTATTTTTATAAAATATATACAAACAAATCCTTTTAATCAAAAAAAATTACCTTAAAATGCATTTAAATATAAATTTTTAGTAAATATTATTTTATATTTAGAATATGGAATCAAATATAAATAATATAATAAATGATCATATATTTAATTAAATTGTCATCGTCAATTGTAGTTAGAATATTTGAAGTGGTTTGTGTAGATCTAAATACCATGAGTTGATGTACTTCTAGTTATTTCGGTTCTATAGTAAGTTGTATAATCATCGTCATTTGTGATTAGAGAATAAGTATTTGGAGTAGTTCAAATTATCTAAATTAGCGTAGTTCTTGTCTGTAAGTTTGTACCGTTTTAGTTATTTTGAGTGTGGTTCAACTTTTTTGGGTCTTGTAGCAAATTGTATGATTGTCTGTCATAATCATTTGTGGTTGAAGAATAAGTAGCTGGAGTAGTTCGTATATTTCCAATTGTTCCCTCAGTTAATCTTATTCTATGATAATTTTTAAAATTGTAGATGTTGGTATAAAATAAGTTTATTCACATCTTTTATCATATAAGACTTTTAAATATCAAAAATGAAATTCAAATACGCGCTATTAATAATATAACTATTGAGAATAAATAATTTAATAATAATAATTAAATTTAAATAAATTAATTACAATAATTTTAATGATAATATAAATATTCAAAATAATTTTTATTTTTATATAGATAACAATTTAATATTCTTAATTTGAACTGTCACCTCTGACAAGATGTGCTCGTCTGTTAATAAAATATCTAATAAATTTTTTTGCAAATTTAAAAATTTCAAAATCAATTTTTTTTATGATATGATATGATGGCAAACAAAGGGACCTTATTTGATTTAAAAAAATTTAGATTCGGAAGTAAAAGTGAACAAAGTACAATAGCTATATATTATTCTAATTGTTAAATTTTTACAGAACACACTTTATATAATGTCAAAGGAATTTCTGGTATATCAGACGGATTTGTCAATTATTCAAATAAGTTTTAATTTGATCAATAAAATAAATATAGTTATATATTCTTCGCAAATTCAAATATTATTTTATTTCTACTTAATCTTCTAAATAAATATTATGTTTTTCAATATTATTTTTCAAGATCTTTAAGATATAATTGTATTAATATTTAATAATATGTAATTTCATTTTTTTAAGGAATTTATTACCATATTGACTATTTAATAGTGCAAAACATTTACCTTCTCTATGACTCAAATATAATGTTATCTTACTTTTTATGAAAATAGTTAAATGACAAGTGTTAATTAAAGTAATTTGCAAAATAAACCTAGATTAACAGGTAGAACTAAATTCAACTTAAGTTTGTAGCACCACATTTTTTTCCTACTCTGACAACCTGATTGTTATAGTCAATTCTAATCTTGTTTATTAGGATAGGGTTTTAAAAAATTAGCCATTAGGAATTACTAAAGTGGCTGACATGAATTTAATGCTTTATTTTAAAAGCTTCTAAATAATCTTTTAAACTAAAAAGGTATGCCCAAATTCAGAATGTTGAAGCCATTTATCGTAAAAATATAAACCAGGGTAAGATTTTAAAAAAATAAAAATAATACTTATGTTATATATTTTTTTAGGAACAAGAGATTATAATACAAATTTTTATACTTCTCCTGTCAGAAGTGGAAATATTGCAAACTACCCTATATCCAATCTTGATTACAACAGGACATTTGTGTCTCACAAAAGGGCATTGCCTAATAATCCTGATGGAACTTCACCCTATTTTAGCCAAAATGTTCCAGAATTTATTTTAAAACATCCAGCATTTAATAAAGCAAAATATATATTAGGTAAAAGATACACTTTACCACTCAAGAAATGTAGAATCAAAGATCTAGAGGCTGATAAAAACAAGCTGGAAAATTTTTGTTTTGTTTGGGAGGCCTTTCCCAAATATTCTGCAAATGTGAGTTGATTTAAATATTTATTTATTTGAAATATTTGAAAATTAATCAATATTATATGCTTACTAACATAACGTTCAAAGAATTGTGTAGATATGATTAGAGTCCTGTAGCAACCAAGTTGGTGGTAATATCATCAACTGAATATACGTTTGGTTTAACATGTGTCATGAGATAATATTTATGCTTCCTCTTATACCTGATTGAATAATATCCAATTATAAAATGAATCTAAAAATAAGAAAAATTTTGTTAAAAAAAATAAGGATATGATTTAAAAATTAATGTTTATGAATTTTTCAAAAGTTGTTTTAATTTAATTTTAAAAGTAACTAGTTAAGTTGCTTAGTTAATTGTTGAAAAATAATTTCTATAACTCATCATTTTTGATATCTTTTTTTGTTACACAAAATGTTTACAAATTTTAATTAAAGGAATTTGAATAAAAATACGACAAAGAGAATACGTACCATCCTAATTATTTGTACGAAAAAAAATAATAAAATAACACAATTCAAAAAAAAATTTGAGCTCAATAAATTTTTAGTTGACTTTCGCAAACTATTTTTAATATATGTGTATTGCAGTAGAGATCTGCTTTTGGACCTAATTTTTTTAAAAAAAATAGGGTTCAGGCTGAGAGGGCCTTATATTTTTTAAAAAAATTCAGGCCAAGTTGGGTAGGCCTTGGAATTTTTTTTAAATATTTTAAATTTATCAATTTTATATTGAATTTTTGATGTAAAATAAAAATATTTGATTTTATTTATAGAAATTAGATGCCATAGAACATATGTCTTTTATTTTGAGTAATTATAAAAATTTAATTTATATATTTAGATAAATTTGGGCAGGGCTGGTAATTTTTTTTAAAAAAATTTCTGGTTTGGGCTTGGCTGGCAAAACTTTTTTAAAAAAAATTCAAAAATTAGGCCCGATGCAGATCACTATATTGCAGTGTGCTTGTTTTCTAAAAAATAAGTTTCCCTACAGTAAACAAACCTTCTAAAGAAGCCTTTTTATGACTATATTTAATAAATAACTTTGAATTTGGGAAATAGTCATATAAAATTATAAATGTGATACTACATATATTTACATTATTTTACCTATATTTTAATTAAAGTAATTCATTATTTTTGTCATAATTACATTTTAATAAATTCGAAAAGGACCAGATAAAGTCCTAAAAAAATATAACTAGTCACTGTTTTTTTCCAAAAATGCAACTTTGCAAACTTAACGTTAACTAGAAACTTTAACTTAAAATTAATTACAAATTATGTTTGAGTTTGAGATTATTTTTATATCTATGCTTTTTATAAAGGTTTGGGTCAAGCACCAGGCTGGGCTTAGATCTAGAAATAATTTGGCACTTGGCTGTGGTTGAGCTAAGTCCAAAAATAAAATCCATTTTTCAGGTTCATAGCTCATATATTTTTCTCTCATGTAACTTTTTTTTGAATGGTTAAAAGAAAGACAAGTTTATAACCATTCCTTGTAGGCCCTAATTATTTTTTAGTCATGTCACAAAAAAAGAACTTACCAATATATAATTTCCTTGTAACATATTTTGTAACAAATGCCTTGTTGCTATTGGTACTTATCCATATCCCTTTTTTATATTATAGCCTCATTCTCTCATTAAATTATCTAAATCTTTATTTATTTGCAATATATTTAATATTTTTAAATTACCTTATTTAATAAAATATATTGTTTAGGATATTTACATAATATTTGACTATTATAACTGGAACATGGAATCAACTATTCAACACCTCAGTGATAAAAATGAAATTCCTGTAAAGCCACTGGTAGAAGATGCACTAAGGGATTTTTTGGAAGAATCAGATGATGAATTTATGGAGGACGACGATTCACATGGTATTTACTGCATGTATATATATCAGAGACCTGCAGCCGGCCCTAAGCCTGGCCCGGGTACCAGGGTCGGGCCGTATTTAAAATTTTTAAAATATACCCAGGCTGGGCCTGAAAAATTTTTTTTTTAAATGGGCCGGGCCTGAAAATTATTTTTTTAAATACCTGGGCAGGGCCTGGTCGTATTTTTTTAAAAAATTTATACAACATGAATTATTATATTCGTCAATTAGATATGGTTATAATGATTATATATAGTTATGATTAATATAATATTTGGTGAAAGTTAACACTAGCTAACACTCATAGTATCTATTACATAATAAAATTATAATTTTCCTGCCATGGAATAAATACGTAAAGGATTAAATACATTATCATATAATATATATGTTATATTTTTTATTAAAAATATCATTTTTATTTTTTTTATAAATACATAGTATTTGTAATATACTAAATATCTGTTTAGAATAAAAAAAATATATTTAGTGTTGTTAAATGGCTCGTTTTGAGCCGATTTTTAAAAACGGCTAAGTCAGTGTTTTATCCAGTAAAATATTATGCAAGCCTGAAAATTTTGCTCATAGAAGGAGCAAAGGTCTAGACATATAGTATTGCAAAAAATATTGAGTTAGCCGTTTTTGTTTAACAACATTAGCTAATATACTTGCTTATTAGATGATAATACTCGCCGAAAAATATGATAAAATACGAAATAATGAATTTTTTGAATATACCAGGTCGAATATAATTTCTAAAAATTCTGAGCCGGGCCTAAAAAAAATTTTTTTTTTTAATCTAGGCCGGCCGGGCCTCAAAAATTTTTTTTTTATATTCGGGTCGGGCCTTAAATTTTTAAACCCGGGTCGGGTAGGTCCGGGTTTTAAATTTTTAAACCCGGTCGGGCCGGGCCGTAAAAAATTTTTGGAAAAAAATCCGGGCCGTATAAATTGTACCTCTGCAGGTCTCTGATATATATATATATATAAAGAATAATTATGGATTTATTATTGGGGTATAAATTTTATTTGAATAAATGTTTTGGGCTAACATTTTAATACAAAGATTTTCTAAAAAAAAAACCACCCAATTTTTAAACAATAATTCTAATAATCAAAATAAGAGTGTTCAACATTCTATATTTTTTTCTAAATGTGTTTGTAAATCCATTTTGATTTCTTAGTTTTAAATTCTCGTATAAAATAATGAGGCTCTCCAATATTTTTAATATACTAAGCAAATATCATTAAAATTAATAAGTATTTTTAAAAAATTGGAATGCCAAACTTTTTCTTTCGCTGATAAAAAGTGGATAAAAACACTAATTTAACAAAGAGGAGTTGAAAGGAGAAGAAAATTTTTGACCGAAATTCACCTCAAAAAAAATATTCTTTTATAGGTAAATTAAATATTTTGTTATTTTCATTAAATAGGTTTCGAAGAGATTTTTTCAATCTTTTTACTAAGGCTGGATTCATCGTGGGATCAGATCCTGCACGATTTATCAGCTGAGTGATATTTAAAATCTTTATATAAGATCACAATTATATATTTTTTTTAAATCGATCAGCTGTTAAATCGTGTCAGATCGGGGGCCGCTATGAATCTAGAATCACTTGTGATCATGTGATGAATAAGGAATTTGAGTTTTCAATCGCGTTATATTTTTGATATAAGAACGCCTAGCCAGAGCCGAATTTGATATGGATGAATACAATTTCATAATGGACTACAATGGATCTACCCATCCTATGGCATTCATGCATTCCCATCAAACGCCTTTCAACCCTGCTAATGCTAACCTAAGCCACCCCTATACTTATAATATCCAAAATCTGCATACCAATGCTCCGGCATCTATATACAACAACGTTAATCATCAAAATATCTCTCCCGTCAACGTTAACCCCAATGATCCCATTGACAAACAATTTTATAATGGTAAATTTAGTCTATTTTTTTTTATATATATAATCTATTTTGGCAGGTTTGAGTGATTTGCTCAAAAAAGATTCGGGCCACGGAATTATAATTGACTATTCGGTTTGACAGGATTAATTTTCACGCCGGGATAGGCAATTCATATAAAATATTTTCTTTTGGGCCAAGCTAAAAAAATAATATTAGGAGGCCAAAAAACAAGTCATTTTTAAATATCTTCACTGGGGCTGGTTCGGACTGTGGCGTGCTGATATCATTAATTACTAATATCAACTTATACTATATTTTTACGAACCATAGATCAAAAAAGGAAGGCTGGGGATAACGTGACCCATGAATCTAATATAGCCCATGGCGCAAATAATCCTAATACGAATTCCAACTCGGGTACCGTTGACTTGATGGATGAGGACAATGAGGCCGACGAAACGAACAACTTGGAAATATCTTTGGATTATGGCGCAGAGGCCTATTATAACGTAAAAGAAGGAAATAGGGCATACGGCAGTATGGTTCAAAAAAAGAATTTAGGTTTTTTTAAAAAAAAAATTTTTTACAATTACGATCATGATATTAAACTGATCCAAATTGATTACACGTAATTATCCTTTTACACCCGCCAAACTAGCGAACAAAAATATTGGGAATTTTTAAAAAAGAGAAGTTTTCAATGAATATTTTTTTTCCAATTTTTCTTCTCGCAAAATCATCAATTTGCCAAACATCCTTGACGTCCACTCAGCCATTGTTAGATTATGATATAACTTCTTTTTTTTATAGAAAGGAAAAATATAAGCTACCAAATATTTTGTATTCATTATCACGAATCATATTATAATTTGCTCATTTTGTTGAATTTTATTTATTTTATTTTTTTAAAAAACGAACTTAAAAATAAATCATATCCTTAAAAACGATATTTGTGCTTGTTTTTTTTCTTCCATTACTTATGTTTAATAATTATTTGTATTTTTTTTGACATCTCTAGGCTACGGTAGTCGAGGAGGCTTGGAAAGAGACCTCATCTTAGATTTTTTCAACACTAGCACTAAAGAGGAACTGCTGAGCTTGAAGCATTGTTCTCTCAAAAAATGCGAAATCGTTATGCAAAACAGACCCTTCGTTAGTTGGGAAGAATTGGTAAATATATCAGAGATCTACAGGCCCGACCCGGGTACACGGGTCGGGTCGTATTTCAATTTTTTAAAAACCGGGTCTAAAAATTTAAAACCCGGGCCAGGCTAAAAAAATTAAGCCAGGTCAGGCCGTGCTAATGTTACTTCTATGGGCCTATATATTAAAAATATACTTTCTAGGGGTTTTTCCTTTGTTTGGACACACCTTATATGGTTTATGGTTAAATTGATAAATATATTTTAATAAATTAGGTTAAATTTAACACTAATCATACTTTTTAATTCTTCTTAATTGTTTTTTATTTTGTTTTAAACCTTTTCTTTTTTTGGATGAGAAAATTATTTTCTGTTGAAGGGTTTGTTTTTTTTGTTTTGGAGAATTATCTCCAGTGATTTATACTTTCTTATTCTACACAATTTTTGTCGATTTTATATCGTGGTTTACTGGCTAGGGTTGATACACCAATATTTACCTTTTCCGCCAAAACATGCCTGAATATTCATCGGGAATGTAAATGAGATTAATTTCCGCAAAGTTAAAATTTTATTTTAAACATTGGAGGTGGGGGAGTCTTGATCTTGAATTTCGAAAATATTATATCCATGTATTGTATTTGTATCTCTAACATTGTAATATAATATATTACGTATATAGAACGCTAAATTCGAAAGATTTAAATTTCTCTCGGTGGAATTGATTCAATCGGCCAAGAAAATGCTTTACGTGCGAAGACAAATCGTTAAATTGTTACAACATTGCGAGCAGCTATCATCCGTATTTTTATAATACAAATAATCTTCCTCTTTTTTTTCTATCAGAGCAAACTTTAATTCTAAGTGGTTTATAAAAAATTTTTGCCAGAATATATAGTCTTTAGTGGCGAGCATATTATTTTATAGTCAAACCAATTAAGGTCTAAGCTTCCACAAATTCTCATGGAACATGATTGTGCCATATTATATTTCATGAAGGAACTTTAACCCCTAGGCGGGCAGTTAAGGTGTCCAAGTTTCACACGATCATGATTAATCCTACATTCATATTAGCCCGAATTCGTGGTGAGTGTACATAATCTCACTTATAAACTTTCGCCACAATTTCGTGCCAAATATGAATGCAGGGTAACCCCTCATTCACAGCTAGAGCGATACCACGTATTTTTAATAATTCGCTACGAATGTGCGCTAACTATGAATTGAGGGGTAAGGCAGATTATATTTCCTCGAAGGTCAAGGACATTTAGCCAATAGAACGATCCTATAAAACACGCGAATTGAACAGTGCTAATTTTTGATTATATTTTCTGCGTTATTTATTCAGGTAGATTCAAAACACGAATCGAATCGTATTATTATTTTTAAAAAAAATTTTTTGGTAGAAAGGGTTTTATCTGTTATTATTGGTTATTTTCGTTCCCTGCCTTCCAGAATAAGTGTTTAAAAAAAACTAATGATAATTATATAAATAAGTCTGCTAAATTAGTGGCAAACTAAGAAAAGAGTTCTCCTTTGTATAAAGGGCTTGTAAAAAAAATGGACGAATACATTTGAATGATTTTAATTATCTTTTGCTAACGATATTTAGATTACCAAATGATATGATCAATCATATGTATCGCTTTTTGCAATTGTAAATGGAATACATATCTATTTTATTTTAAAAAATGACACCAACAATCACCTGGAATGAATTTATACTATTTGAATAAATTACACGTGACCGAATCAAATAATTTGTTTTTCGAATATTATTCACGAATATTAATTTCGATTATTTAAACAAACTTAGCGTATTTGATTCGTTCATCAGAATATACATTTTAAAAGCATGCACAATAAAATTTTTATATATAATATATCCGGACATCCCCATTTTATTTATAATTATTTTTTTTTAGGAATTACAAAGGGCAGTAGAGAATATGATGTCAAGGGGACATATGGTTGTTCAACCTTCTAAGTTGATATCTGATCATTATTCACTTAAACCATATCAGGTAGCCGGGATAAATTGGCTCAATCTACTCTTCAAAATGGGCATGAATGGGATATTGGCCGACGAAATGGTGATTTTTTCTCTCACATCTCATTGTACTCTATATATATTTCAATTAAAAAAATAGATTAATGGGTGTGCATTATGTTCTTATATTATACACGATTATTTCTTAATATTTTGTTTGCCAAAATTATTTATTTTTAAAAAAAATTTTAAGAAGGGATAGGTTATATTATATAAAAATCCTTATAAAGTTATGATTTATATTATTTACCTCTATTGATTATATATATATATATATATATACTATACAACGTTTACATATTTGATTACATTTTAAAAGGGATTGGGGAAAACCGTTCAAATTTTAGCCTTCCTTCAGTTCCTCCTAGAAAATGGCATCAAAGGGCCCATACTTATTATAGTACCTGCTTCAACGCTAGGTACGTTTTTATATGCTGCATTAAATTTTGGGTAAAATATGTTCTGGGTGGATGGGGTAGAGATGTGATATGGTCTAGAAGAAAGATGGATAGAAAATAGTTATTATTAATATTAAAATTGGACAATTGGCACGTTCTTTTTAAACGGGCAATTCAATTACATTCTTACCGACAGTTTTTATCTTAAATAAGATATTTAATTTGTTGAGGCATTTGTTCATCCCTGTCTCCCATAAAATGTATTACTTGAATATATTTTGCTCCGATCTTTATTGAAAACAGTGACAAAAATCGTAAAGGAAGATAAACGGGCTTTGGCCCCATCCGTCTGACCGAGACCGGATGGATTGGCGGACCTGTTCCGGTGTTTAATGTTAAAACCGTGATTCAATTCGGACAGTAAACTCTTTAAAATTCCTAGTCTTATTTTTTTTTTTTCATATTAAAATTATTTTATGGAAGATAATTGGACTTCCGAGATAAGCATATGGTGCCCCGTCTCCAAGATAACTATCTATTACGGCTCCCAGTCGGAGAGGAAAGATCAAAGATTTTTCTTGACCGAAGAAAATGGTCTTCAGCAATTGGATATCATTCTAACGACTTACGCTATGGTTTATTTTACCTCCAAATTTAAAATTTATTATTTTATTTCTTTTATATATATAAGAATTGAACACCATAATTTTACAGGGAATTGATTATCTTGTTCATGTCTATAATAAACCACCCAAATTACTAAGAACGCTTACACATAAATGACACAACACCTCTCTTTTTTTTTGATTATTTGAATTTATAATAAAATATTTATATTTTATTTTCCCCGTGTCTGTTAGTTTACCTATTTATATTAATAATAATATATAATTTAATCAGCCCCATATATTAGGTTGATTATGTTTTAATTTTTTTTTTGGGGGGGGGGGGAGGATTGGCTAAATTTTTTTAATCTTAAAAAATATTTTATATTAAACCAAAATATTCAAAGGTCTCCAGTACGGCAGATGACAAAAACTTTTTTAAAAGAATCTTATTCACTTACGTTATCTTTGACGAAGCCCACATGCTTAAAAATATGACTTCCATTCGATACAAATACCTTATGAAGATCAAAGTTTATAAATTTTTAATTAATAATTTATTAGGAATTTTAAAGAAAAAAATTATATTTCTTTTTTTTTATTTAAAATAAGATATCTGAGCATATTTTTTTTAAGAACATTACTCATAAAAATTATTATAACTATCAATTTAAAATAAAGATTTTACTTTATAATTAATATATATTTATTTCGATAACCTTTTGTAGGGTCTAAATTTTATTTGGTTATTTTGAATAATTTTGGCAAATTGTTTCAAAGGGAAATTGAAGATATGAGCATTAAGTGGATATTTAACAATCCATTATACGATTTTCCAGCTGGTTAGTGATGTTAAATGGCTCGTTTTGAGATGATTTTTAAAAACGGCTAACTCAATATTTCACCCAGAAAAATACTAAGCAAGCCTGAAGATTTTGCTCATAGAAGGAACAAAGGTCTAGACATATATTATCGAAATCTTCAGGCTTAGTCAATATTTTTCTAACTAATAACAACACTACTCTTCTCTTATAAAAATTTTATTAAAAAAAAGCTTATTCAAAGATGGTTTTTGGCATTAATGTTAAATACAAAATAAAATTTCAGTCTATGTTTTTACTTATAATAAAAAAAAAGAAAATTATTTTAAAAACGCGGGCTAACTTGTCTTTTACTTTTAAGGCGAAATATAGGGTTTTGCTAACCGGTACCCCCATACAAAATAATCTAATGGAACTCATGTCCTTGATGCAATTCATTCTCCCGGATAAAATATTCGAGGAAAAAACGGAGGAACTTAAAACCGTTTTTTCCGCTTACGAACTAAACGTAAACGCCGCCATAAATTTGGAAGTGGGAAAGACCGCCGCGGAAAATGGTAAGGACGGTGGGACCGGATCCGACAACGAATTAGAGGAAGATAACAATGACGGGAATGTTTCTGGGAGCATTGGTAAGAGGAAACCCGATAAAAGGCAGAGGAGTCAGTTCGAGATGGACAGGGTGGAACAAGCTAAAAGGATAGTTAGACCTTTCGTACTTAGAAGGACTAAAGCGCAAGTAAATAACAAGGATTATTTTTATTCATGATACTCACATTATTGGCATAGGAAAATATTTATATATTATAATGTGTTATAGTATTTGGAGCAGGATGTATAAAAAAATTTTTTTAATGTCATTCATTACTCTTTTAAAACCTAGTAAATCACAAGAGAAAACAAAATCCATTTTTTGAGATTTCAGTTTAAATTTTTGGAACAACGTGTGATTTTTTTTTTGTGTTAAACTCTGAATTATTTAAGTTTCGCTGTTTTGATTTCACATGCCCGGGTATCTTATGGTTTACAATATTTCTCAATTTTAAAGTTTCTTATTTAACCTTTTTAATCAATTCACTCGATTTTTCTAACTTATTGAACCGGACCAATTTAAAAATAAATCTTCGAACTTGGGTACGACTTGCAAGGATGTGCCAAGGAAAGGGCTCTAATACATGTCATAAATCTTATACAGGTTTTAGACCAACTCCCTCCAAAGATCCAAGAAATTACGCTCTGCGATATGACCCCCGACCAGGCTCTCGTTTACAAAGGAGTCCTGAATAATTACAAGGAACAATTGGCTAAAAACGCGAGTAATTCCCTGAACAACAGTAACGTACTGCTCCCACCCATGAATATTCTCATCCAACTCAGGAAAGCTGCTAACCATCCATTAATGCTAAGGAACGCTTACAGTGACGACCTTCTAAGACAAATGTCCGTGGATATGTTAAACGTAAGATAAATTATTTTATTTTTTTTTATACGTTTATAAAAAAAAAAACTTTCATTTTACCCCACTGCTGATTTTTAGGCAAGATTTATTTATAAGAATCGATAGGAAACATATTTATTAAGAAAAATATATATATTAAGATTAATATAAAAAGCCTTACGCCTTAAATAATATTTGATAGTTTGAAAACACTTGAAAATATTTAATCTTTATAAGGTTGTATATTTTTAAAAAGATATTTAATTTATTCTTATCTATTTCCCCTTTTTGTAATTTTTTTAGTATTATTAGATTTTTATTGTGTCCCGCGAACAATAAATTCGTTTATCCTTGAGTTGTAAGTTGATTTTTTCTCTTCTCGGCTTCACTCAAGGTTGAGATATTTTTTTAAGTTGATCATATCTATATTGGAACTCTTTATTAATCAAAATATTTTTTATACTATTCACGCAGGAGCCTACGCACAAGCACGCGGTTCCTGATTTGATATACGAAGATATGAAAGTCTTGAGCGATTTCGAACTTTATAAATTGACCAAAGCCTTTCCGGTTTGTTTACACAAAAAAATTATTTCATGTTTTTTCCCCTTTTCCTAGTGGTTTTAAAAAAAGACTTCTTAACCTTTATTCCCAAATGATTAATACGTAAGGGGCGCGCATTTATAAGCCTGGCACCGATTTGTTAAAAAATTATATATATTCCGAGCCAAGCATGCAAGCAGTATGGTGCTGCTCATGACTAAATTATAAAATGGATACTGCTGACGAATAAAAATTTTTGACAAATAGGATATCCCCCTGAAATGAAAGATGTTATTCTTTCCCTCCCCCTCCGCCATTGTTGAGAGTTTTTTAAAAAAATTGATAGCCTTAGCTTCAAATTATACTATTTTTTTAAAAAAAAAGCCTTCTTGTATAAATTACATATCATTTTTTTTAAATAAGGTGCATGATTGATTTTTTTTCCTAAATACCAAAGTTTCTTATAATAAACAAATTTTGATGTTCCATTTTTAAAAATATTTTTTTTTATTAAAGAGTATTTCCGGTTACAAACTGCCGAATCACGTGATAAAGGCTTGCGGAAAATTCGAATTTTTGGATACCATTTTGCCCCAGATCGTTAATAAGGTTAGTGTTTGTTTTTTTTCCCTTCTCCAAAACATTTTGCGCATCTTAATTATATAGTTGAATGATTTGAGAAATCTTCAAACCAAAATATTTTCTTTCCTCTTTTTTTTTTATTTTTAGAACGAGAAGGGATTAATATTTAGTCAATTCACGTTGATGCTGGACATTTTACAAGAGTATCTATCCATATTAGACTACAAGTTTATGAGGATCGACGGGGCGACTCCTGTCCCAGATCGGTAAAATAAATATATTAGAATAAATAATATTACTTGATAAATTCAGCGTTTTATGTTTTTGTTGCGTTTTCAATAAACAAAAATGAAACGCGCCCACCAATTTGAATGAAACTTCTTCATTTATTTCTTTAAATACAAAAAACTAAGGGGGGGGGGGCATGCTTTAATATTTATTTATAAAATTAATCTTTCTTATAAATTGTTTTTTTTTCAATTAACTCTATTTGACAAAATGAGCTAATTTTAAAATGATCGTGATAATTAGATATTTTAACTAGAAATGTTACTGGATTCAAATTTTCTATTTATTTATTTACCCAGTTCAGGTTCAGAAAAAAAATGTTTATTAATTTATCATATACATTTGAGTATAAATTTAAAAAAATATATTCAAATTTTAAGGATTTATATATATATATCCTTAACAGTAAGAATAAATCGGCAGTGATTCAATATTTTTCTTCATTTGGAGATGATTATCTTGTGTTTGAGTTTTATTTTTAATTTGATATATTTTTAGCAAAATAATATATTTTTTTAAAAAAAAACTTAATACCCCCCCTCCTCGTTCCCCCAAATTCATTTTATTTTTATTATACGATTTAAAAGTCTGTCCCTCATCAAGGCCTTCACTAACGATAAAGACTGCCCTTTCTTCCTCTTATCAACCAAGGCAGGGGGCCTGGGCATCAATCTCACGTGTGCCAATCACGTTATCATATACGACATCGACATAAACCCTTACAACGATAAACAGGCCGAAGATAGATGCCATAGAGTGGGCCAGGAAAAGTTAGTTTCATTGTCGATAAAATGTTTATTCGTCAGAGGTTGGATCGTTTATTAAAATTACACCTTTTTGAGATGTTTACTTTCGTTATGTTTATTTGTATACTTTTTCAGGGGGCTAAATTATTTTAAACCCGGCGTGGATTTGATCGATCATCTCCATTCTCAGGCCCAACCAGTTTAATAACCTGTCTCAGATCTTTGAAATTTATACCTCATACAAATACAGGGTTTCCCATGAGCTTTTTTGTTGCATTCTACTTCTGAAACTCTCATCAGTGTTAATATAGTATAATATGGAAACGGATTTTTGCGATTAAATGTAGTTTCCTTTTTATTATTAAAATAATTCAAGAATTTACCCTTGGTTCTTCCTATTCAACCACCCTTTTCTAGGAAATGAACCTTTAAATTAATTACTTTGAAAAATTGTTAAAATAAAACCTTAAATTCCTAGAAACTTTTTTTTGTACACCAAGGCAGAACATGCAGGGGGCTAGCTGATTTTATACAATGGATTAGATGATTATTGTTGCTATTAATACAAATTCTTGAAAACTGGTAATTTTTTTAAAAAGTTTTATATTCAATTTTTAGATCAAATAAAATATAATCATGATGGTTAATGATTTTATAATTATAGTTATTAATTTTTTTTTTAAACATTTAGAACTGTCTCCGTTAATAGGCTTATAAGTAAAGATACTATCGAAGAACTAATCTTGAGGTGCAACAAGGAGAAATTAAAATTGGAAGAGAGTATGACGGGCGTAGGAAAGCAACAAAATAGCCAATCTTCAGGAATGATATTAGGCGGAAATGACGTATTTGAAGGTTTGTATTGTTTATATCATATTAGTTTTATTACTTCAATAGATTATGTCCAAGGAAGCAAAAAGATAAGTTTATTATATTTACCTAAATCGCTTATTTTGCATTTAAAAAAATTTACTATTATTAGGTGTCAATTCCGATAATCTGAACGACGAAAATAATGACGACATTGCTAACTTGCTAAAGATGGCAGTCGGTTCATAGAAATACTCAAGATATATTATTTTTTTTTAAATTATATAATTTAGATTTTTAAAATTAATATATATATATAGTAAATATTTAGTTTGTTAAATAATTATATGTATGCCTATTTTGTGAATCGTGAACAATAAATTTTTAGTAATTGTATTATAAAAATATCAATTTCCATTTTAAATTATTATGATGAGCCAAAAATTGATGAAGCAATATCGCAATTAATTAGTAAAATAAAATGTCTAAGCAAATAATATTATATTTAAAAAAAATTCATTATTGTTAAAACATGATCGATAACTATGAATTTTAACTAATACTATTAGATATTCAAATATGATAATTAATCTTCAATCTATTTAAAATAATCCTATATTAGTCTATATTCTAGAGGATTTTATTATTTATGGTGAGCTAAAAACCAATAAGACAAATATATCACTAACAATTAGTAAAATAAAATATAATGTTGTGTGATTAATTTATTAATATTTTAAAAATATGGGCAATCACTTTGAATTTTAACTGATACACTATTAATTAGATATCCAAAAAATGGTTATTAATCTTCAATAAATTTAAAAAAAGATTTGATTCTATATTAATATTAATTCAAAGTATCTTTAAAAAAATTCTTTCTATTTTGCTAATTTATTTGTTTCAATAAACATATATTCAAATAATATAAAAAAAAATATGTAAACCATTTAAATCATAAATATAAAACTATATTAACTTCAAAAAATATAAGATGGGGAAACAATGATTTTTTTGAAAAAAAATTTCCTTAACCATCAAAATAATTATTAAGCATATTTTATTTTGAAAATAATTATAATAAAAAATTTTTAATTATTGTTCTATAAACATATTGAAATACTGTTTATTAAATTTATAATTTATATAAAAATAAAATTATATACAAATTTCTAGGGAATTAAATTAATATTTTTTAATCGGTTTGTTTTTTTATAAAAAAAAATTGTTGTCGGCATATAAATTTTTCCAATACAAAAAAAACGATAAAATGGCGCTTTATATTAAAATTTTTTTTAATGCTTTAGAAAATTTTTATAAATATGTGCGATAGTAATCAATATAAAAATAAGCGGTGAAAATCGTTAGCGCCAAATGGGGCGGCACACTCGGGACATTTGCGACGACGTGTGTCGTAACGCAGCTTGAGGCAATGGTAGCAGAACACGTGATAGCATTTAGACAGCATGGCGTCTTTGCGGTTAGATTTGCATGATGGGCAGGTCATTAGAGATTTATAACCACGAATTTCCTCTGCCAGTAAAATAAGTTCCGCTGCCATAGTAGCTGAATCGTCTGTCTGGTTATCCTTATTTTCTATGTTTTGAGAAATCTGTTTTTGAAATTTAATCTTGTCCTTAAGCCTTGAAAGCTGTTCTTTTAGTCTATCACACCGGAAATTCTCCTTTTCTAACAGGGCACTTTTATCAGCCAACGATTGGAGTGATTCAGAAAGTCGGATAGAAAGTTGTTCACATTTATCTTTGAAGGACAAGGTCTGTTGAGCACTTTCGATGGCCTTTTGCTTGAAGGAATTGCAGGCGGATATTCTGAGCCTCATTTCCCGCTCATTGTTTTGTAAGTCGTTTAGCAACTGTTTTTCTTTATCCCTATAAAGCACCAGAACATCATTAAGTTTTTTATTTGCACTTTTAAGAGCTTCCTCCCTATCCAACTCAATGTCTTTTTCTTCCTTCATCAGTTTTGTTAACTGGTTTGCCTTTATGCGTTCTGTCATGAGCTTAAAATTGGCGTCATCTTTCTCACGAAGCTGTTGCAATAGCCTGATATTCTGTTCTTGCATATCTTCAAAGGCCTGACCTGTGACTTCCAATTCCTTCAACAAGGCTTCTTCTTCCTGTTTCGTTTCAAACATTTTCTTCTGCATGCCACAAATCTTATTTTCACACTGAGCCAATTTTTTTGCCATTGAGTGATCATGGCTAGCATCTGAGGTGCTGGTAATAGAATTAGGAGGATTAATGGTAATTGCATCAGTATGATTTGGTTTATTATCTTGCTCTGTGACGTTCTTGATGCCTGTCAACTTATCCCTCAGTTCATTTAAGTCGTTTTGCAGCTTTTTCTCACTGGCCATCAGCTGGGCTTTATCCCTCTGATCTCTTGAGGAATTCTTGTAAACATCCAACAGGAGCTTCAATTCCTTTTGGGCTGAATGTGATTTTTTCAGTTCTTCTTTGAGATCTCTGATCTCGTGAACCATTTGATTAACATTATCAGGTGCGATTGGCAAATTGACCTTGTAAAACTTGGCTTTGACATTTTCATTCAAGTTTTTAGTGGAGGATTGAACTTTTTCATGGACTGGGCTATTATCATTAATAGAAGAAGGGGGGTGAACGTCAGAACTAATTGTTGTGTCTATGGCTATATTATTGATTCTTGGATCATTGATCACCTTGTTCTCATTTGAGGTATGGCTACTATTTGATGTCTCCAAAGTTAAGTTAGTAATCGGATCCAATTTCTTGAAAGGAATTATTAGAGAATGTGAAGTGGTTACATTGAGTGGGTGGTGTTGAAGCTTGTCACCAGTGGGACGTTGGACCAGAGAACTTGGTTGAGCCTGCTGAGTACATCTTTTTTTGTACCTCATGACCTCCCTTTTGAGTTGTCTATTATGTTCTTGTAAATTAGCAATGGTTATCTTAGTTTCATGGTTAATAGCAGCATTCTGATCTCTGGTGGATGAATATTGTTCATGTTCTATGTGCAAAATATCTAATTCCTTCTTTGTCTTCAGCCAATTATCTTGAAGATTTTTAGCATCATCCTTAAATTTTTGGCAATTTTCTGTCTGTACTTTAGCCATTTCCTCCATCTTTTGTGTGTGAACATTCTTAACGGCTTGTAACAACTTCCTAAGCTCGGATGCATGTGCTTTTATTTCTTTATTCTCGTTGAATATTATTGCATGCTGGCTTTGGAGAGATTTGTATTGCTCACTATTGACAATAAAAAGATTTTCATCAAATACGTCCTCCTCATACTCGTTGGTCAGTCCTGTCTCATTCAAATCTTCTGCGTCATTCACGGGTGTCACCATTTTAAAATGAAATCGCATTTTAAAGCAGTTAAGCTTTTCAATCCTATTAAGAGCATCAACGTATTGGGAATGAAGCTTTTCAAGCTCGTTTAATCTATTAGATGATGTTTCCCTTTCCTGACTCAATTCAAACTCTAACATTTGAATGGTTTCATTTGGCACAAAACTTGTGGTAGAAGTTGGAAGTTCTTGAATTATATTATTTGAATCTACTTCATGTAAATTTGGATGAATATTGTTTGATACTATTGCATTAGCTACATTATTAAGAGCTGCTTTTCTGGCATCAATTATTTCTTTGTTCAAATTTGCATAGGAATCAGTTAATCTTGACAATTCCTTGTTTAATTTAATTTCTTTTGCTAAATGTTTTTTAAGTTGAAATTCTAGGTCCTGTATTTTATTTTGCAATTCTCCATTTAAATTCTGTGTCAATTTTAATTGATCTTTATATTCTTTTTTCATTAGAGTGTCTTTGTAAGTATTTTTGTACAATAATGTCATTGAATCTCGTAGCTGTTTATTTTCTAATTTAACCTTTTCAACAAGCTCTTTAAAAGATGAGAAGTTTTGATTGAAATACTCTTTATCATCTTCAGTTTTATATTGAAATATTTTTAATAGTGTGCTATCCCTTAACAGATAAAAAGTTTCAATATGCTTTATAATGTCAAGCATAACTTTTTTGGTAAATTCAACTCTTTGCAATAATTTTTGTTCCAAGATATCTTTATCACACGAAAATAATTCTTCTATAAAATAATTATAAGGATTATCATTATTTATATTTTTATTAAATAAGTCCTTTAAAGCATTATCACCAATTTTTGTTTCATTGTTAATTCTTTTTTTGTTAAAATCTTGCATTTTACGTATTTTGGCAATTTTTCCATACTTCTTACATTCTTGATCAGATCCTCGTTCACTTATTTCTGAATCATTTTTTTCATCTTGGCCTGATCCTTCATCACTTGAACTTGTGTCATTTTTTTTTCTTTTACTGGCATAATGTTTTTGTAGTAATAGTTCATAATTTGTAAATTCCTCAATTTCTCTCAATTTTTGATTAGTTTCTAGATTGTAATCGATTTTTTCCTTTTGAACATTTAATTCAATTGCAACCCTCTCCAAGTTAGCCTTTAGGTTTTCATCCAAATTATTCCAATAGCGATTAAGCACACACATAACTGATTCATTTGAGTGAAATTTCTTTTCCATTTGGTAAATTTTTGATTTTAAATTATTTTCTACATTCTTATAATATTCTAACCTTTCAACCAGTTTTTTGTTTTGAAATACTAAAACTTTATAATCTAACTCTTGCAGATTGGATACTCCCCCAAATGTAATTTGCTCAAATGTGAAAGTGGAGCAGTCTTCGGAATCCATGATTTTTTAATAAATATATTCGAATATAAAAATATAATATACACCTGTCATCTGTCAAGTTCAGTACATTCTTATATTTTGTAGTAGTGAGTGATAATTATTAAAACCAAATAATTAACTTTGCATACATGTATCTAGACAGTCAAAATATGAAGTATTCGGCTAAAAAGTTACAAAATTAATATAATGGAATAATATTAAGAAGAAGTCATTTATTATATAAATTTTAGATGACAACAACAAGACTTTAAATTTATTCGTAATACTTATATTAATACCAGAAAATTTTCTCATTCAACATAGACATTTAAAATAAAAATAAGCCTTTCCTAGCTAATAATGTAATTAAATAACAATTATCGGCAGAGTTGTACAAAAGATCTTCTTTGAAGATTTGCGAGATCTAGCTCAAAAATTTGAGCAAGATCTTTGAAGATCGTAAAATTTGAAGATCTTTTATTTTTTAAAAATTTTGATCTTTGAAGATCGCTGCGATCAACGATCTTCAAGATATTTATTTTTTTACCCCTTTATTAAAAGCCCAGATGTTTTTCAATTTTCATCAAGGCAGGAGGAGAGGTATAAAACATAAAAGAAATATTATATTAATAAAATTGAAAAACATCTGGGCTTTTAATAAAGGGGTAAAAAAATAAATATCATGAAGATCTTTGAAGATCGTTACACAAAATTTTTAAAAAATAAAAGATCTTCAAATTTTACGATCTTTTATTTTGAGCAAATGTACAACTCTGATTATCGGGTTAAGCTTTTAATATGCCCAACTTTTTTTATCTTAGCCTATGGACTTTTAATGGCAGTCTTCGTCTTCGGACTGTTGTAGGGACAGGTATGTACAGCTTACCTATAAAAGTGTTGAGGGCTCCTCATTTTTAATTCTTCCCCCAACTTAATTTATTCCACTTAGAAGGAGATAAGGAATACCTAGGGCAACTCTGTTCTGTTGAACCTTCAACGATAAAATGTAAAAGAGCTATAAATCATGTATCCCTTAATAAATATTTTTAATTTTAACAGTATATAGAATATTTGGGATTTTCTACTTTCCAAATGATACAAATACTTTTGTAGCACAAAAGACATCGATTTTAATTTTACTATACAAAATAAATGATCAATATTAATATACTTTTACTCATTGATGACCATAAGTACAACCAGGGTTGGGCAAATTTTCAAAAAATTGTATTCGGATACAGATACAGATACTTTATAAAATTTTGTATTTAAGATACAAGATACTAGACACTTTAAAAAAATTTCAATTAGGTATAAGATACAAGATACTTGTATTTTTTTAAAAAAAAGTATCTAAGATACAAGATACTTTTTTAAAAAAACTTTAAATAGTCAAAATCAAAATGTATAAAGCTTTATTTTCTCTATAATATAAATTTATAAAAAAATATTTAAAATAAATTGTAGAAAATAACAAATTTATTATAAAAGATAATGCGATATTACATTTAATAATTATATAATTAGTAAATAATAATAAATCAGCATTATTTTTTAATATTATTAATTTTTCAAATGATTTATCGTTCAATCTTTGACGATTTGGTCTATTAACCATATTAGCAAAGCTAAATAATCTTTCAACGGAGAGAAGGGTAATATTGTGTTATATTTAATAAATATTTCTTTTATATATTTATAACTATTTAACATATTTATACTCCGCCTGTCATCTTACATATAATTTAGGACCTCTATTTCAATATCATTTATTGAATTATTAGAATTGGATGTGGTACTTTTAAGGCAAAAGTAATCATCATCTTCATCAATTGAAGATTTTGTTGAAGTATTAATTTCAATATTATTTTTAAAAACAATTAAAACTTCATGTAATAACAAATCCTGAAGGTATTTTTTTCTTTTTCACCATCAATCCAACGATTTTTAAAATAGGGATGAGAATAGTTGCCAAAAATGCACTTTTAAAATTGTTATCAAAATCATATATATTTTTAAATCTTTTATTTAAATAATTTTCTATGGCAATAGCTAATGGTTTGCAAAATTGTAGAATGGTTTGAATTAAATTTGTAATTTTTTTTAACGACATTTAAAATTGGAGCTGATTCTCCATAATTGCAGTTGATTTCACTCTATTTTGTCAATCGCTATAGCCAATGGGGCCATTATATTGCAATATTCTTCTAAATATTGAATTTCAATATCTCTTAATTTAGGAAATTCTAATTTTTGACATAATTTAGGAAGTTCGCCTTTAAATTTTAATAAACTATGAAGACTATCATACAAACTATTCCATCTATACAAGGTGTAACTAATTGTTTTCCTAAAACTGCTTTGATAAGTTCTGCAGTTTTAGGCCTATTATTTGCATTCCATAGTTTAGTACATTTAGCTATTGCAGGATGATGAATTTTAGAAATGTTAGAAGAATCCTTAATTGCTCTCTCGACATCTGTTGTGGCAATTAGACTTATCGTATGGCACAAACAACAAATGTGTTGAGGCAATGTTATTGAGGCATCTTTAGACCCTTAAATAAACAAATAAATAATTTTATTTGAATAAAAATTTTTACTATTTACAATATCATAATAAATTTTAAAGAAGTATTAAATAATACTTTCAATGATTTCGAATTCTATAAATTCATCATCATTGATGTCAAAGTCATTCTCTACAGCTTCCATAGAATATCCAAACTCCTTGAAAGCTTTCTTAAAGTTAGAGCCGTTATCTGTAACAGTTGCTATAACTTTTTCGTCAATACCAAAGTCACGATGAATTTCTTTATTATGATCATCTTGCAAAAAATTTGCCATTAAGTATGCTTAGTTTAAATTTATTGTTATAATTTTCGGTTGAAGAATCATCTGAAGACGAAGATAAACATATTATTCTATTTTCTTCTTCCATAATTTTAAAATAGACAGATATAAAACGATTCAAATATGGTAGTTCTAATTGTTAGCAAATTGCTTTATGACGACCAACGTCATATATCAAAAATTATCTTAAAATATCTAAATTTTGATTAAATTTTTCATTTAAATCTTAAAACAATATCATTTTAAATTTTAATACTATTTAAATTAATCAATATAAATTTTTTTAAAGTATCTGTATCTTTTTGAATACAAAGTTGGTTAAGATACAAATACTTTTAAATAATATGTATCTTAGATACTGGATACAAGATACTTTTCAAAATTTTAAATATCCGCGATACTGCCCAACCCTGAGTACAACTAAATAAAATAAAAAGATAGGTTATTGAAATTAGAAGTGGTATTATTTTAAATGACTTATGTATGGTATTATTTTAAATAACTTATGTATGGTATAATCATAAATGATTGTATATTAAAAATAGTTAGATCAGGCGCATAACCAAGAGGAGGGGTAACGCAGTGACAAAGCGTCCATAGAAACAAGGGAAACATTGCTTCCCTTGAATCATTATTTTCACTAAGTTAAAAATATTATTATTATTTTTATTACGTTAAAAAAATATTTATATATGAGGGAAGAAAATTTGATATTGCTTGTATTTGAAATATATTTTATAAAAATTATGATGATATTTTGGTGTAATTTTTTCATTACGTTAAAAAATATTGATATTGGGGAAAGAATATAAAATAATTTTTCAAATAAATAAAGTCAAAATCATGCGAATGTATTGATCTAAGGCTTATAATAAGTAGACCTAAAGATCTCCAGTAAAATTTATTGGGGAAAACAGCATCTTATCTTTAGCAAAATCCTAGATACGCCTATGAACTGTTTACTTTCGAAAATTATAATATAAAATCAGATTAATAATTTCGAATTAGGTTTCTGCGATGCGGCTTGGAATATTTTTAAATGGAGTTTAATTATATTTGATATATTTAAATAGTTTATTGTAGTTGTTGTTAAATAGATAAATTTGAGTCGATTTTCAAAAACGACTAACTCAATATTTTCACAAATAAAAATATTGCTCAAGCCTTAAAATTTTGTTAATAGTGCCAACTATGAGCAAGATATTCAGGCCTGTGTGATATTTTTCTGAATAAAATACTGAATTCGCCGTTTTTAAAAATTGGTTAAAATCGAGCTTATAACAATACTAGTTTGTTGCATGTGCATCATATTTTTTTAACTACTAAATTATTTTTTTTACATCTTAATTAGAAACTTAAAAATAGCAAGCTGATATGTCTATTAGCGATCTGCATCGAGCCTAATTTTACAAGGCCGGCCTGAAATTATTTTTAAAAAATTTGTTCTACCCGGCCTAATCTCTAATGTTTTATTTGCCCCGAAAGGCTCAACCTGATGAGCATTATTTGCCCACCCGGCCCGGCCCAAATTTATTTAAAAACAATAAATTTAATTTTTTTTCAAATTCGCAAAAATTTTAAAACATAGAAATTTATTTGACAAAATGGAATATCATATTTAAAAATTTAAACCCGGTCTGGCCCATATTTTTTTTAAAAAAACATTAGGCCATACCTAGCCCGAACCGTTTTTATAGACCCGGACCTGCCCGATACTTATTCGGGCCGGGTAATACCAGGGTCCGAGATCTCTATTGTCTACTATGCATTTCAAATCAATCATTTTATACAGTACATTTTGATGGACTCGAGCGGTATGTTTATAACTATGAAATAACATCGATCTCTGAAAATAATATTAAATAAATGTCATGTATGGATTAGTGTAGTTACAAGGCTTGATTCTGGTCGATTTTAAAAAAAGCCAAAATAATATTATGTAAGCCTAAAGATTTTACTCATAGATGGATGAAATGCTTGGCCATTTATTTGCCAAATCTCGCTCACCACATAATATTATTTTATCTAAATCGGGCTTTTTAACAACACTAGTGTTGGTTAGGGGAAGATATTCATGTGAACTAACTTTTAAAAAAAATAAAATAAGAAAAGCACCATAATGTCTGATTATCGTGAAACCTGCTTAACCCATTAATACTCAAGATTTATCTGGTGAATAAAAATGCT